CCCTCATAATAACACTTTAATTCATTAAGAACAAGTATAATTTTTTTTTTTTGAAATCCAACACATATGAATTTCTTTAAAAGTCTCAACACATATGATTGGTTTGGAAAGTTAGCAATAGGAGGTAGGATTGGGATTAATTGTGGTGGTTCACCAACAGTTGAGAAAATACAAACAATGTAGTTAGAGAGCCGCTTGCAAAAAAAGGAAAACAAAATGGCAAACATAATTCACAATTAAAAAATTATACTAGTGTTGTTTTGTCAATGCAGTAGGTGTTTGTTGTTGTTGTTTGTTTTGGCATGTTTCTTTAAGTTTCTAGTATCCAAATTTAGGCTTAACTCAATTTTTCCTTTTTTAGTATTTTCTTAATTATTCAATGTTAAGTTAGAAAATTGTAATGCTTTCTCTTTCCTAGACGAATTAGAAGTTCTCTACTATTATAAATAAGGTTGTAAGCCGTAGGGCTATTTAGTTTTGAGTTAATCAATAAAAAAATTCAAAAAAAAAAAGTTCTCTAATTTATCATTGTTTGTGATCATTCTTGTTGCTAGGTTCATTCCATACATGTTCCATGCATCAATTTTGAAAAGTACTTTGGTCGATATTGGTTGATGAAATCTCCCACCCAAAGTAGTTGGGTCAGGTGACGGGTCAACGATGAAACCACACCGAATCAACCTGCGAACAATCCTACTCTCTACCCTATGGTTGTAATTATGATCCAAATGATTGTCAGGATTATTGGCAGATGGTAAAACTTGGATAAATTAGCCATTTGCATGAAGTACCATCCATTCTTTTGATCCATGAGTTCATTACAAGAAGAAAAAAAAATGAAAGGCTTGCATAAAAAGCACAAAGATGATCGCTAACCTGGATGGAATGGGAGAACATAAGGGATAAGCCATATCTCAGGGGGCAAGGGATTATTTCCAAACCATTCAAATACACCAAGTACCTATAACCATCAAAAAAGAGACCAAGAACCAAATAAATGTCTAGGAGAATAGAAAATACTTTGTCACTTGAGCACTAAAACAAACAAGATAAAAATTCAGGACGCAACTGAAAGCCACATTTTTCCCCATGATGTTATTGCGGTGGCACCACCATGGTCCAGAAGCCATTTACGTCCTTTCTCCACTGCCCTTTGCCCATCATCAGCTTCTTCACCAGGCAATCTCAAAGTAACATAGCTCAAGTAAGTACCAAACATTGTGCCGGGGCCTTCAATGTGTAAGCCCCACCCACCATCTCTATTCTGTAATTACAGATTTCAACATTTAAATTTTTTATCTCATCATGCTGACAAGAAACTCATAGAAGAAAAATTGTAGAAAAACAATTCGAATATCCTAAATAAACATTGATAAAGACCAGTCATAATAGGTTCAAATGCTTATATCAAATTCTTCTTGTTGGAACAATCTTCTGTGTAAATAAAATAACTTGAAATAAATTCAAACAAAATAAATAAATAACATACCGGATTTATTTATCGAACCGAATTAAAATTAAGACAAAGTCGAGTGTGTGACACTCTATCCTTAAGACAGATTTGCCCCGTTACGGTGCTTACGGTTGAGTGGCGTCTATCTCCCATGATACAATGATCTTCATAAATTTGTAGAAACACTTCAAACAAATATGTTCGGTGAACCAAACCTGTGATCTATACTCTCTTGAATATTTATTCCTAAAATTATAAATGAAGAATAATGCACTAAAAGAAATCTGGACAGCAAAGAGAAAAATTTCAGACTGAAATTCTCTAGGACTCAAAACTGTTGGAAAGTGCTGGATTTAAATAGGGCCAAACAGGTGTGATCACACTTGGAACAGATATAAGATCAAGCTGAACAGGTGCAATGTATTTCAAACAAATATGAAAAGTAGCCGTTGCACAGGAACAGTTATTAACCTTCCAAACAATTTGAAGAAGAACCGTAGGTGGACTAATATTCAAAATAGTTGGAATATATATATTATTAAACTATTTAGAATAGTTTAATCAAATAAAGCCAAAAGTTGAATAGATTTATTAAAACCTTAAATAGGATATAAATATAAATCTATTTGACAAACTTTAGGAAACCACTATTTGAATTTAGAATTAAATTAAATTCCCAAAATTACAAACTTTAGGAAACCACTTAGGAACCCAAAATTTGAATTTAGAATTAAATTAAATTCCCACAATAATTTTTATTGAAAAAATTCAAATGAATTTTATCTAAAAAATTAATGTTAGACCCGAAAACGACGTCAACTTCTCATTCATTCATAAATGGTTTTGACGTTCCGTCTTCACCGTGTGACTTGCCACGCGACAAGGAACACGTCACCTCTTCGGACCCACCCCAAAAGACGTTTGGGGCCCACTTAATTTTGGCCTCAAAGTTGGTCTAAAATAAGCCATATAAAACACCAATTTTCCAACAGACAGTGATGACGATATTCGAAACATGTTGGTAGCGTTTGGTAGAGTTTTGTAAATGTGATTTGAGAGTATGAGTTGTATTTTGAGTTTGTGTGTTGTGGAATTATGATTTGAGTGTAGAAAATTTGTTTGGTAAAGAGTTTTGAAAATAGTTTTGATTTGAGTGGGGAATTGTTGATGTGACATTTGATATGTGATACAAAAATTTATAACTCATAACTAAAAATACAACTCAAAATTATTTTAAAGTACATAAAAAATTTTAAAAATTTCAGAAAATATTTTTTTCGATTATATAAATCAATTGCAAAAAAAAAAAAATTCACTATTCCGGTCAACCGGCCAGTCAACCGGCCGAACAACTGGCCGAACGTCCCGTCAGGCAAAATTTTCAAAAAAAAAAAGACAAACGCGTCTGTCAAAACAGAAAACCGCAGGTGTTCTGTGCTAAGTTTTGGAATCATTTTTTGAGAACACTAACCAAACACCATACTTGAATTAAGGTGTGGAATCATGATTTGAATTCGCAACCAAACAGAGCCCTTGTTCTTTGTGAAGTCATTTGGGCTAAACCATTTTGATGTTCTTATTTAGATTTGAGATGTTCCGGTGGGTGGTAATTACGGGGGTGCGTATTGCAATGAAGGTGAGAAGTCGAATATTGGTAATCGGACGTTCGGTATGGACGATCAGACGGATTTGTTACCAACATATTGTCCTAATAGATCAAAGACGTTCTTGTCTGCTCAATGGGCATTCGGGATTACCCATGTTGGACAATGTTTCATCGGTGGTGCTAATGAATTTCGGGAAATATTATGCAAGTATGTCATGGAACGCGGGTTTCAATTCAAGTATGTGAAAAATGATTCAGTTCGCATTACAGCAGCGTGTAAGTTTGCAGAGTCCACAGCATGTACATGGTCGGTGCATGCGAGGGTGTTGCCATCGAATGAGATTTTATGTGTTAAGAAGTTGGATAGTGTGCACAATTGTAGAGCTGTTGTACCAACACATAGAAACCCGTGTACGGGGTTTGGTTTGGTTTCAAATGTTGTCGCAAATCGGGTGCGTGATCAGCTATTAACGCGTCCTACGGATATTGTGTTTGATTTGAAAAATGACTATGGGTTGGATATTAGTTATCGGGTTGCATGGTTAGGGGTTGAGAAAGCAAGGGGTAAAGTCTGTGGAGATCACGCTATGTCGTTCGACCAACTTAGGTGGTATTGTGATTCCGTTATAAAAAAGAACCCAAACAGTTACATTAACCTTGAATTTCACCAACAAACTGGGAGGTTCATTCGGTATTTTATATCATTCCGTGCATGTATAGATGGGTTCAATCATTGTCAGCCGTTACTTTTTTTAGATGGGACGTTTTTGAAAGGCAGATTCAAAGGGAATTTGCTAGCTGTTACCGCGAAGGACGGCAATAAAGGTGATGTATCAAATTTTTTTCCTTATTTTGTAATTGAAAAATAATTTAACATTTCCGATCCGATTCTATTTTATGAATCCTTTATACACATATGTACTGCACACAGGATTTCAGATGCACTAACATTTTGCATTTCCATGATGTGTACTCCAAATATGGTTGGCCCACTGTTTTGTGCAGGGTTGTTTCCGGTGGCCTTCGCAATTGTTGACTCTGAAAATCAACAAAATTGGGAGTGGTTTTTACGGAATCTTAAAGAAGTCGTGGGTGACAGGCGTACATTGACGTTCGTATCTGATCGTCACGCGGGTCTTTTGCAATCCATGCCAATTATTTTCCCTTCGGCACATCACGTATTTTGCTTGCTACATCTTCAAATGAATTTGAGAGACCGAATGAAATATGTTAACTCATCGCACAAAGTTGGGTTGATGTGCAAGCTCCAAGAATGTGTTTATGCGCCTACTATACCATGTTTTAATCAGAAATAGAGATGTTAAAGGAGTCTAGCCCGACTGTGATTGACAACTTTTGAAAGACTTGCATCCATCCCACTGGGCTAACGCGTACTCCATGTAAGTTTGATTGTACCCGGTCGGCGTAGTAGTTTAATGGGTTCATTTTTTTCAATTCATTTTATACATTAACATGCTAGCAGTTAGGTTTTTTTTTGGAATTCGGGATGAATTTTGTTTGATCATCCTATACCTTTCAGAGGGCAACGTTACGGTGAGATGTGGTCAAACGCAGCTGAATCATTCAACAACTGGATACGGGAGGCCCGTCATCTTCCAAGTACTAGGTTGGTCGATATGGTTAAGGGTCAAATAATGAAACAAATGGTAGAGTGTAGAGTCAAGTCAAGGAAATGGACCGACGTATTATGCCCGAAAATAGAGAAAAAATTGGTTACGGCGTACAATGACAGTAGGGCTTGGAGTGTTAGCCAGGCTAATGACAATGTTTACGAGGTGCACTCTCACCCATCTATTTTGGTAGATGTGACAAGGCGATCATGTTCATGTTTCCAGTGGCAGCTAAATAGGTTCTCGTGTTCCCATGCTGTTGTCGCTTTTTGTAATAACGGACAGAATATATGTGATTCTATTGAAAGGTACTGTCATATTGACGAATTCCAAGCTTCGTATATTGGAACAATATATCTGATTCCAACTGTTGAGAAGCCAGCATTTACGCCCAATGATTTTATGATTGCACTGCCAAAGGTGAAGCGTCCACCTAGCAAGCCCAAATGTAAGCAAATTCCATCAAAGGGTGAGGTTGTGCAATGGATTCGTTGTGGTCGGTGTGGAAAAATTGGCAACCACAATAAGAAAACATGCAAGGAGTCGATTTAGTCATGTTAAAACATGCTTATTTTCTATTCGGATTGTTTGTTCGTTCCCAATTCATTACAACTTCGTACAATTTTCCTTTCACAACATTTTTTACTGTTGATTTAAACGCGGACATCATAATGCTTTTATGAAGTGATAAATAAATATGATGTGGAATGTGGGTTTGTTTTCACATTGTCTCAAATGCATTGTACCCTACCACCTCCCATTACATTTAACGGTTGCATTAACCTTTCACAAAAACTGTTGCTCAGTTTCACAAATACAAGTGCTCATAATTTTGATACCCAACACCGACTGAAGTAACATAATCCACATTAACCACACTATTTTGTTGCTTACTAAGAGTTTGGATGTGTGCTGTGCGTGTGATGTTACACGGAATTTTAATATATTAATACCATGTACAAATATTTTTGGTTGCTTGTGGTGCGTTTGAGATCACATGGTATGTACATGTATTACATAGTGTAATACTCCCATAACGGATAACACCATCATCAAAGTAACAATTTCAATGTTTTCGAAATAAATTTTGGCAACACAGATTTCAACACAAACTTGATAATTTCAGATTAACATCCTACATTGTAATTTCAGAGTTCACCACCATCCCCTTTCTAACCACAATGCCCATAATGCGAACCTCATAAACACAATAATGCGTACATTTGAATGATCCTACATTATGTTATCCACATATACAATTAAGTAACACAATATGAATGACACTACTTCCAACAACAACCCTCCTCACCTCGTCCACTTCAAACACTCAAATAGATTCAACTACACATTGAAACCTAACCACCCTATGACTGCTTTAATTACTACACAATCAACAAACCGTTTCCGTTACATCAAATGTACAATTTTATTCCCAAAACAATTACACACATTAAACCAACGCCAATCACACTACTGATTGTTTACCATATCCAACCCATGCACATTAAAATCTGTTAAACCCCAAATTAACATCATTGACAAACACACTGTAACCAAAAACACATAA